GTAATCCGGTGCGCCTTATGTGTGTGTTAAATACAGTAATCTGATTACAATACAACAAATTAAAAAATATAGAAATTGTATCATCTATCTATCAAAAAACTTTTTGAAGTATGTTGAAAAAAATAAGTTAACTTGGATCAATTAGAATGTATGTACAGTATTATGAAAAAAAATGATTATAATAAAGTGCCTTAAGATAACATTTGTTGTGAATTTTCCCTCTGTAAATACATTTAGTAATAGATCATTTATTTAAAAGATTTTTAGGTATATTCTAAAATACATGATCCATCTCTATTTTTTTTTTTTCTCTCCACAAGGCCAAGATGCAGAAGAAGACTATCTTTTATCCCGGAAAACTAAGTGTTGTTTTCCGCAAGGGACCTCTTGGGTTTCTTCTGCAGGATCCCTCCCCTGAGGCCAAAAATATAAAGAATGATCCCAGCCTGTGTGACAAATCGGATCCAAAAAGGGAGGATGTTGTGCGAGAAAACGCTTCGTCTGTGGTTCGTCAGCGAGGTGGGGATGTCACAGATGCTCTGGAAGTGCTGGGAGATTACAGCCTCCAATTTGGAAAGTATAAAGGGAAGTGCTTCCGCTGGCTTTTGGAAAATGATGTGGGTTACACAATCTATATCATCCGAAACCAACAAAAGGAGGAGGAAGCTGGGATCTGCCTGACCGAGAGCCTTCCCAAGGTGAACCTCCTAACCTTTGTGAAATACGCACTGAGTTTTAAAGAGATCCAAGATGTTCTGGATTATGAGACCAACAGAGGCACCAGTGCAACAACCTCTGAAGATGATCAGCTGGTTGGTTTTGGCTCTCGGGGCAAGAGCACTTGGAAGGAAATTTTGGACACAAGAGAAGATGGGTACGCTGATTTCATTCTAAAGAGCTGCCTTCCAGGGACTAGAATGAAAAAACTGCAGCAGTACTTGCTCCAGAAAAAATTATCTTCTTGTCCTCCATAAATAAAAACCAGTGTGCCACATAAACCCCTGGTTAAGTAATTTGATTTCTACACTGTCAAATGTTTTGTAAACACAATGTGCCCTCCCCCTCCTTTTTTTTATGAAACCGTAATTTGATGTTTTCTTTAATGTTGTGTTTTTTTTTTTACTATTGTTTCCTCAGCTCAGCCACCCATTGCTGCTCCCCAGCGTCAACATGACCAAGACTTGAACAGCTGGAACTGTTCTCAGCAGCAAAAACTGTGGATGAGAACAGAGATGCAAGACCTTGGTCTTTGGCCTGGATCTCGACCTGTGAGGCGTCTCGGAAATACGATTTCCCTTTGGGGTCATTCTCCACAGCCTGAGCTCATAGACACAGTGACTGAGCTCCCATCGCCCAACTTCTTTCAGCTTCACCCATTCTTCATTTGGAAACCAGAAAATGATCATTTGGCATATCTACAGGCCATTGAGAGCATCTGGGATGCAGAGGCAGGGGTGCATGGACAAAGGACCATTGGGCAGTTTGTCAGGAAAAACAAAACACCATACCCATTCGGCTCTTATGAAGATCCAAATGGCTGGTGTGGTATCTCTGTGTCTGGTTTCTACCTGACAGACTGTTTGCTTGAGGAGTACAGACGTCAAGAGCCAGCTTTATCCAGACTCCTCCAGGGAACGTTTGGACAGGTCTTCAGGTCTGATCACACCAGGAAGGTTGCACGAAAGGTCTCTCTAGCNTTCGGCTCTTATGAAGATCCAAATGGCTGGTGTGGTATCTCTGTGTCTGGTTTCTACCTGACAGACTGTTTGCTTGAGGAGTACAGACGTCAAGAGCCAGCTTTATCCAGACTCCTCCAGGGAACGTTTGGACAGGTCTTCAGGTCTGATCACACCAGGAAGGTTGCACGAAAGGTCTCTCTAGCGTCTGGGATCATGTCCAGTTACGCAATTATGAACGAACACTGGTTAATCGTCTCCTGGGTGATTGTTCAGTCAGAGAGCGAGAGATCCTTGGAACCAGTGTACCAGGGGATGGCCAAGAGATACAGCAATGCTGGAGTGGAGAAGGCCGGCCTTCACTGGGTGGACAGGTAGGAGCAGAATCAACTGCTTTCACTGCTTCACAAAGTTCTAGAGATTTTTTAATGGTTCACATACCAGAATGATCAGTGACCGACACATACAGATATTAGCAAAGCAGAAATGTGTTTTCTTATTTTTACAAAATAATGTTTCTCTTTACTAAAGTAACTCACACGAAGAGTTTTGGAAAAAAAGAACATTTATTATAAATACACACACAAAACAGGAAACCAGCCTGGATTCTACAACTGCAGCATTCGCTTTTATATTTTACCATTTATTTATTTTTAGTTGTATAAATATAAATTTCAAAAAGACAGGTAGAAGGGTATGGATTCCATTACCTCAACTGCCAACAAAAAACCTCCAGCAGCTTTTATAACGTTAGCCTGTAACATTTTCAATTAACGGATGGAAACATTTACATTTTCTATTTGAAAGACTTCTGAACTAACCTGAACCTCGAGGAATACAAACCTCAAAACATAGAAAACTTTAATAAATGAAAAGCTCAACTTTCAAAACATCCAAACCAGCTCCTCTCCCTCTGTCAGTGTGGATCTTCCGTATGAGGTTGATTGAAAACACCAGCTCCTTGTCAGCACAGCTAGAGAGCAACACCACATGTCCAGATGTCTAAGAAAAAAATAGAAATCTTAAAGAAAATTTAGAAATTAAAGCCAAGATATATATGCCTGTCTATTACTAACATTTGGTGGGCAAAACATTTAGGCAGTAAAATTTGGACTGAGTTATATATCATGTATAGACCTATTTATGTTTTAACAGCTGCTGTTGATTGATAAATATTCCTGTCTTCTTTTTAGGGATTGCTGTGCATCCTTTAAGATCTCAGACAGCCTCCCTGGTGAGCATTTAAACTGGGATGCCTGGAAAACAACTCCTTCCATTTTAGCTGCCGCCACTTCAGGACCCCTCACTAATAATTGTGCCTCAAGGTCCTGCTACAACCCCAACATTGTTGTGAAGCTGGACTTGTTTCACTGTCTGCAGCGCTTTCCCAGGGAGTGCACTACTGAACATCACCCTCTTTTTAGCACTTTTTGCCAGCTCCTCTCTGCTGCTTTCTCCGTGGTGGATCAGGAGGATCTAAAGAAGTTTAAGGAGGCCTATGAGTTCTGTGGTATTATTCCTGCCAATCCAACCAAACAGCACATCCGGGAGATGCTTGAGTGACCCTGAGCTCTCTGAGGGAATAATGTACCGATATGGTGGAACACTTCAGCTCAACCATGTGCCCGGAAAAGGAGCAAAGGTCCCCGTTTGGATTCCTGTCAGAGGTACGTCGCAGCAGGAGGGTTACCATTTTCATCAGGCCCAGTGGGTCACTGGAAATCTGGTCTCCACTGAGCTGTTCCAAGCACAGGGCATGACGGGGGTTGTGCGTTGGAACTACCAAAGACTAGTGGACCTGAAGCAGCCTGGGGTTGTCCTTCCTGCTGTGTTTGATCCAGCTTTGATAGCTGAATTAAACGCATCTTCAAAAAGGGTCACTGGCCAGGAAAAGTATCCTGCACTCCAAATTTCAAACAGGGACACTGGAGAAAGATTTGGAGTTGAATACAAAGAACCTGGCTGCCGCCTTGTGCTGCTTGATTGGGACAAACATAGGACTTTGAAAAGAGGAGTAGTAGCAGCTCCCCCACAGCTCCCTTTGCCATCATCCACCGCTGAAAAGATACCAACTCCTGTAACACAGAGCTCAGATCTG